TGCAGGTGGGAGGGAGATTATGGTGGGAAAAAGCCGCTATAACCCAAAAGTTGTACTTTGGAAATTTATATTTATTAAAAAAAGTTAAAAAAAAGAAAGATGGAAAATAAAAAAAATTATTGGAGTAGGAATAAATATAACTAAATTTTTTCCTTATTCACAATTGATCTAATAATGATCTATTAAAAGCAGTAAAAGTAACATTGTATTGTGCAATTATAGCATATAGATGAGTGAAATGAACAATAGAACTGTCATAATAAATAGGTTAGTGGAGTTAGGATTCCTCTGTCATAAGACATCTGTATTACCCCTGAAGTAGTTAATGTCATGTGAAACTAGACTTGGGCTATTTGTAAATGTGCATTAAAAACCCTAGGGCAATTACCATTTTTTTTAAGATAATGTAATTGACCTGTAAAAGGACATCTTAGGAATTTGCTTGATGAAAAAGAAGTGGTAAGTACACTGCAGGCCTTGGTGAGGCATAAAGTTCAGTTGATAGGAGATGAATATTCAAGATCCTGCACCAGCATTAAAACTTTGGGCTCTCAGTGATCTATGCCATACTAGAAGAGCTCCTCCATGATCAAGCACATGTGCCATCCCATCACTAGGAAGGAAGCATGATGCCCTGTGACCTCTTTGGGTTCTGGAGATAGAATAGTTTACATCTGGAAATATTGCTGCTCTGATCCACTCATCAAGTGACAAATAAGTTCCATACTGTCTTTGCCTCCACCAATTTATACAATTAAAATCCCTATTATGAGCCCCCAGACATAATCTTTATAACTCTTTCCTGATGTGTGAGCACAATGACTCCTCTTAGAAAAGGATCAAGAGGATTTCTGCCATATCCCTGATGTGCAAGGAAGATGGATACATGGAACCAAGTGCAGGACGCTTCTCCACAGGGCTTTGGCTTGGCCCCTTTCTCACTTGTAGTTCTCAAGGAAAACTGTAAAATGTCTTGAGAGAGCAACACTTTGAGATAAAGCGCGAGCTCTGTTCCTGTCCATTGCTGACCAAATGCCCCCAAGTCACACTGTCTTCCAGGGCTTTATTCCAGCAACCTGTTAACCTCAGGGGATAAAACCCAGGTGGTATTGTTCTGCATACATCCCTACTAACTTACTTGTAAGGATACAGTTTAAAAACTTGCAATGGGACCTTGAAATCCCTTAAGCTTGGTGGCACAAATACCATCTTAAGTGTTAAAGTGATCATATGAATAGGATTAAGTGTCTGGGAATAATAATAGAAAAATTAAAAAGGATGGGAAGCAGTCCACACAGCAGACTCATAGAATGACAATTACTTTAAGTAGCACCCTGACCTCAGAATCAGCCCTTAGGGCATTCTGGTCTCGCCAAAAATCCCACAAGAGCATTACAGGATTGAAAGCCAAGACATTGGCAAAAAATGTACTACATGAAGGACCTCGATGTGTGAGACCCCAATGGAAAGAAGTGGTCATCAAAAAAGGAGGTACTTTTTTGAAGGGAGGTGAGAACTGAGAACTTCTACTTTGCTGATGGCCTTGTCTAAATACTAATGAAGTATGTGGATTCAAAAGACTTCCATAGCCTAGACAGCTAATGTCCAGAGCCTTGGGTGATCACTGACATTATACATAAGAGTGTTATTGTGGTTTTTTTTTTTGACAGGCAGAGTGGACAGTGAGAGAGAGAGACAGAGAGAAAAGTCTTCCTTTTGCTGTTGGTTCACCCTCCAATGGCCGCTGTGGCCGGCGCGCTGTGGCCGGCGCACTGCGCTGATCCAATGGCAGGAGCCAGTACTTGGGCCATCCTCCACTGCACTCCCTGGCCACAGCAGAGAGCTGGCCTGGAAGAGGGGCAACCGGGACAGAATCTGGTGCCTGGACTGGGACTAGAACCCAGTGTGCCAGCGCCGCAAGGTGGAGGATTAGCCTAGTGAGCCGCGGCACCGGCCTAAGAATGTTATTGTTAAATTAACTACAGGAATCATTATGCACTAACTTCCCATGCAAGACCTCTGTCCTCAATGAATTATACTATAATTATGTCTAAGTGCTTGCAAAATATGTATAATTCTTGGGTACTTCTTTACAGTTAATTGTTTCTAAAAAAAGTGAAATTAACTTCAAGATGCAATGACTTTGAGCATCTCTTGTCTGGATTGTTGAGGAGTAATTTTTTCTTGCAAATTGTTGAATTCTTAGTATAGAGTTTGTCTACTGTGTATAAAGTTAATGGAAAATGGATCTTAGTGGAGAATGGGACTGGGAATGGGAGAGAGAGGAGGAGGAGGGGTGAGAGTGTGGGTGAGACCCTGCAGGCAGGAGAGGAATGTGAGAACTGAAATCCTACATATTGACTTATTGTCTGTACAGATCTATCTGGGGTTGTGATTGACAGAATATGACTGTGTGCTTGGACCTAAGGGCATCCCCACATTTGTACAGACTACTTATAATTTTCAAGATACAACTCAGCGGTTCTAACTTTGATGCAAAAACCAGATAAATATTGCACAAAAAGAAGCTGCAGCCAATTTCACGTCTAAGTATCAATAAAAAAATTACTGCAAGTTAGAAATAAAATTTAACAACAATAATTAAAAGTATAATCATGACCAACAAAGTTCATTCTGATAATGGAAATATGTATTAATATTAGGAAATCTAACAATTTAATTAATCAAAGTAATAAATACTAGGAGCAAAATCATTTGATTGTCTCTGTAGATGCTGAAAGATATCTGGTAAAATTCACGCATTCATTTTAGAAAAATTCAGTTAAAAAGAAGTTGATGTTATCTTCCTTCTCTTTGCCACAATAATGCTGCGCCACAAATTGCCTTCAAACCCAGTGACTCTTCATATATTTATCTATCACACATTTGTGGTTTGGTTTGTTCAACAAACTGTGACTGGTCTCAACTCATCAGCTCTCATCCTCACCACTGTTCTTTGGTGTAGTTTTCAGAGATCTAGAGAAACAGAATCGGTAACATCTATTTATATCTATACCTACATCTATTCTGCATATATATATTTCTATATATATTTATTTCTATAGCTATAATTATGTGTATACCTATAGCTATAGCTATACCTGTCTATCTCTGTCTATTCACTCATCCCTCCAAATACACCTGTTCCACATCCCTGGGTTCAGCCAACTATGATTTGAAACTGTAGTTAGGTTTGTGACTGTTATATCTATACTGAAAATGTATAGGCTTTTTTTCCTTGTTTAGTATTCCCTAAATAGTACAGGATGATGAGTATTTACATAGCATTTACATAGGAATTATTAGCAACCAGGAGATTTAAAGTACATGAGAGGGTGTGCATAGGTTATACCAAATACTGCATCATTTTGTACAAAGAACATGAGCATCCATGGATTTTGGTATTAATGGCATAGCACACAGCAAGGAACAAAGCAGCCATCGCTTAATTCCAGGCTCCTCGAGGGCTCTGGGAACAAAGTTCCTTTTTTATTTCTTTAAGATTTATTTATTTATTTGAAAGGTATAATTATACACACACACACACACACAGAGAGAGAGAGAGAGAAAGAGGGACAGAGAGAGAGACAGACAGAGACAGAGACAGAGACAGAGACAGAGACAGAGAAAGAAAAAGAGGTCTGCTATCCACTGATTCACTCCCCAAATGGCCAGACTGGACTGATCCGAAACCAGGAGCCAGGAGCTTCTTCTGGGTCTCCCATGTGGGTGCAGGGGCCCAAGCACTTGGAACATCTTCTACTGCTTTCCCAGGCTATTAGCAGGAAGCTGGATCAGAAGTAGAGCAGCCAGGACTCAAACTGGCACCCATATGGGATGCTGGTACTGCAGGTGAAGATTAACCTACTGTACCACAGTGCCAGCCCCAACAAAGGTTTTTATGGATTGAAGTTGAGGTTGAGAGCTGTGTGCTCAGCTTGGGCCCAGGTCTGTGGTTGGTTGTTGAAATCATTTCCCTCTTTGATTGGTCAGAGATATTGGGTCCTTTAGGGAATTTTTGTTTTTTTATTTTTTGACAGGCAGAGTGGACAGTGAGAGAGAGAGACAGAGAGAAAGGTCTTCCTTTGCCGTTGGTTCACCCTCCAATGGCCGCCGCGGCCGGCGCGCTGCAGCCGGCGCACCGCGCTGATCCGATGGCAGGAGCCAGGAGCCAGGTGCTTTTCCTGGTCTCCCATGGGGTGCAGGGCCCAAGCACCTGGGCCATCCTCCACTGCACTCCCTGGCCACAGCAGAGGGCTGGCCTGGAAGAGGGGCAACCGGGACAGAATCCGGCGCCCCGACCGGGACTAGAACCCGGTGTGCCGGCGCCGCTAGGCGGAGGATTAGCCTATTGAGCCGCGGCGCCGGCCTCCTTTAGGGAATTTTGATGACGGCAAAGTGGGCTCTAGTCAATCTTGGGGCCAAGTTCTGGTTGTGGTTACTTTTTGCTTGGGGCCTGGAAAAAAGACCCCTAAAGATCAAGGTGTTATAAAGATCAGGAGATAAATGCCCTCCTGATCCTGTGATCAGGGACCCTGTGGGGCAGGTGGCACCACTCAATTCTGTGAGTTGGTTTTAGTCAGGGATTGATTTGCAATAATAAAAACAGGGCAAGGACACTTCAAGTTAAGGGAGGGAGGCTGGGAGGCTGAGAGACTAGGACATGATGGTACCTAGCATCTTCCTGCAAGGCACTGCACAAGAGCCTGATCTCAGACCCTGTCCTTGACAGAAGATATTCAAGGGGTAGGAGAGTGGAGGAAGAAGGGCAATGAATGCTGCTGCAGTACTGAAGACAAGTCTCCCTGGGAAGAGGGCAGGGCTCAAAAGGGAAAATCAGCTTAAAGGCTCTTCCTCTAGCATGAACCCTTCTATGGTACCTGATGTCCTTTAAGCCTCTGAGTCTAGCTACATAATTTCAACACTAGGATCTTATGTTTTCTGTTTCTGAGGCTGCGCAGTGCAAGCTGCACGTTCCTCTTCACTTCCTGTTTCTCTAATCTAGCACTGACGCCACTGGTCTGGCCGGGCTCTCAGAACGTGTTTTGCTGAAAACATAAGCAAACGTTGGAATGTTCTCCGTGTATTCATACACCTTGGATGCTTTCCTCTGGCTCCTGCGTTCATTCCTCCAATGAGATGATCACATATCAGCCCCAAAGGGAGAGGTGGAGATGTCACAGGAGTGTGTGGCCAAGGGGAGTGGCTGGCTGGTAAGTCTGAGTATGTTGTGACATTGGTGTGAATATTATGTGTGTGTTTGTGTGTGTGTATGTGGGGAGGTACTTGCTATGTGTGTGTTTATGTGTTTGTATATATGTGTATTGTATTAATATGTGTGTTTAGAGTATGTGTGATAGCGTGTGTATTTTACACATTCATGTATTTGTGTTATGTATGTGTCAAGGGCTGTTTGTGTATATGTGTGTACTGTGCATGTATATTTGTGTGCCCCTTGTGCTCTGTGACAAACTCACTACTGGCTGTTTCACAAGACATGTCTTAAATTTCACTTTCTTTCTGAGCAACATCGCTAATGGGATGACATATGTCAACTCTTCTGTGTTGGAGGCAGAAAATACAGAATGTGGCTCACCTGTGAGGGTCGCTGGTGAGGCAGAGGGTGCAGAGGGTGCAAACTGATTCCAGATCCCAGAGAAGAACCACTCATTTTTGCTCTCAGGTGTCTTCCTCCCCTCAGCCTGGTCCTGCCTGGCCTTTTTTTCTCTTAAGCTGACCATTCCCTGTAAAGTACAAATGATATTGCATCGATGAAGCATAGTGTCAGTGTCACCTGGAGTCTAAAGAAGCCAGGGACAAGGAGATTGAGAGGCCCGTAGTTCTCAGATCAGTAGTCCACAGACTTAGGAGGCAGTGGCCTCCCTGTTCACCAAAGAACTTTCAGAGGTAAAATACTGTGTTCTTCCCAGAAAATGGCTGACCAGGTCTGAGGCTATCCGCTTGTTCTGATTCTTCTCTCTTCCTGGAAAGTCACCAGACCTTCCTGGACTGTCTCCATCCTAAGCCTCATACTTAGAGAAGACGTCACTGAATAAAGATGCCAGTCACTAAGCCACATGCATGTTGTTGTCCTTTGTTGGCTGCTGGGACTCAGGGAGGCCTGAGATGGTGTTTCAGGTGAACAGAGTAGAATACACATCCAACAGTGTTGTGCAAGTGAGTAAACCATGACATTGAGATCTACTGCAGTTAGGATTCCCCCACACCCCAGAGCCTTCATCTGGGTTTGTTTTATGTGGAAAAACAGATGTGGACCAACAAGGGTCTTCCCTAGTCTCACAGAGGAAATCAAGCAGATGCAACTGCATGCTCTTGAAATTGTGAGTGATGTCAGTGTGTGAAGCAAAGATACATTGCTCTCTCATCAGAAGAGAGATGACATGGGGATGACACGGCCCTAATTTGTAGAGGACTGAGAATTGCTCAAAAGTGTTATGAAATGTGTTGGGATCATATGAGGGAGAGAGCTCCATGGGCAGCTAGCTGAGGCCCAAGGTTCACTCCGCAGGGATGCTGAGGCCCAGGAAGGGTGACTGTCCTGAGTGATGTCCATGTCTCCACTGAACATGGAGATTTCCTGCGCTGGGATGGTTCCCTGGTTGTTTCCTTCCTCACAACAGCAACACCCAAACAACCTCCAGCTCTCAGGCCTCTGCAATCTTCACTCCAAGCTTTCTCCAAAGATCAAGCCTGATCCATTATTTCTAGTCCCCCAAATCATCAAGCCAGACCCTTCCCAGAACCTTCCTGTCCATTCAGCCATAGAAACCTCCCTGCCACCTGGGACACACAGGGTCAGTGATGTACCTGCCTTTGTATCTCTGCCCACAACAGCTCCAGACCCTGTGTCTCTCAAATTCCAGCCATTCCTCAGGTTCCAGGCCATTGCACCTTCCTCCATGAAATCTCTTAAACTCATTATGGAGTGATAATGGGAGTGGGTAGGTGTGGATGAGAAATGAAGAATCTGGCCTCTCTCCTCACTCATTCTTCCACACCTATATCAAATTTAAAAACCTCCCTCTAGCAAGAGAAAGATGAAGGCAGGTGCTTCTGGAAACTCGGAGTATTAGTAAGCCTTACTGTTTTCTCTAGGTGGAGGAAAACGAATATGAAGTGGTTTCTCTGGAGGATCTGCCAGGAGAGATGTCCCAGGATACCACAGGGAGGCTGTCAAGAGGTAAAAGTACTTTCCTAGAAGGGGTGAGCTGGAGAAGGGTGCAGAGAGAGTGGTGCGAGGAAATCAGTCCGTCTGGGACCAAAGCTGGGAGCCTGCAGGGTTTGGCTCGCTCTGACGTGACAGCCTTGGGTTAGAAAGCTTCCTGTGAACAAGCAGAACGTACTTGACTGGCCACAGCCTTGGGACTAAGCTCAGCCTTCCAGGGGTTAGTGCTTAACTTTCAAGGTATCAACTTTGCCATCTAACCGAGGGAGACAGAATTTAGGAATGTTGTCAATTCATCCATTTTCCTGACCAGAAGAAAACATTTGTGATTCATCGTGTATTTCGACATGAACCATTTTTTTTTAACTTTATGAACATAAATGACCCGAGCACTGGGGAAAAAGGCATGAAAATATAACCTACTTCATAGGAACATTACCAGTACATGTGCTAATGCCTATTTAACTTTGTCTTACAGAAATCAAGTTTAGATATCACTTTAAAAATGTTCTCTGAGCTCAAGTGCTGTATTTAGTGGTAGGGTTTGGTGGTATGTACTGATTCCATACTGCACCAGTGGGAATTACTGTCTGTCTTCAGCTTGCCAGGCAAGGAAGAGTGTTCCACCTTCTGCACTTCCCAGACACTCTGTCCACTCAAATTTCTTTTCCTTCCAACTAGGGAAGCTGCAGAGAGCCAATCCCTTCCCCTTAGATTTCATCTGTGGGTCAGCGAGCCAGGGTGGTGTGCAACCCTGTCATCTGAGACCCGTCAATGACTTACAACTTGCTAGTTAACCCAATGGTCCCTTCTTTGTGTGCTCCAGGTGCTCTGTGAGGATAAGAGAAGGGAATTCCCATCCTTCCCCCATACCTAAACATCCCTACAAAGCTTGAGATTAAGTTTTTCAGTGTCTGGTTGGTATCTCCAAGTCTCCTCTCTCAACTGATAACTGATAGTCCCCTAGTTGAGAATGTTCAGCCCCACCTTCAGGATGTGAGCAAACAATGGGAGCCCTGGGCAGGTGTCAAGGACAGGTGCTGGTCTCTGTCTCTCCTACCTCCCAGCCCAAGATAATCATCCCCTGAGGGAATGAAGCATCCCTGGGGGCATGGTTTCTGTTGAGGAAAAATTGGGCAGATGGGCTCTGACTCCAATTCCCTCTGCTTTCTTCTGATGATTCTAGGTCTGAGGAAGAAAGAACAGACCCCAAAGAGACTGAGACTCATTCTGGTGGGGAAAACAGGAAGTGGGAAAAGTGCAACAGGAAACAGCATCCTTGGCAAAAAAGTATTTGAGTCTAAACTCAGTACTAGATCAGTGACCAAGACCTTCCAGAGAGGCATCCGAGAGTGGGCCGGGAAGGAACTCGAGGTGATTGACACCCCTGACATCTTGTCCTCTCTGTTCCATCGGGATGTGGAAGCCCGGATCTGTCAAGCCATCACCTTCTCCTCGCCAGGGCCTCACGCTGTGCTCCTGGTGACACAGCTGGGCCGATTCACAGAGGAGGATAAGCAGGCAGTCAGGCGTCTCCAGGAGATCTTTGGAGTGGGGATCCTGGCACACACCATCCTAGTGTTCACCCGGAAGGAAGACCTTGCTGGCCGCTCCTTGGAAGAGTACCTGCACGAGACCGACAACCAGGACCTTGCCAAGCTGGATGTGCTGTGCGAGCGTCGCCACTGTGGCTTCAGCAACAGAGGGGAGAGGGCTGAGCAGGAGGCCCAGCTGCAGGAGCTCATGGAGAAAGTGGAAGGAATCCTGTGGGAAACGGAAGGCCACCACTTTAGCAACAGGGCTTACCAATACTCCCAGCAGTGCCTTCTGCTCAAAGGAGAGCAGGAAACTGGAATGACCCAGGGGCAGGCTCTGGGGAGTGTTCTGTCGAGGAGTCCTGCTTGGCAGGGCTGCCCCAAGTCCAAAAGGAGTCTGAGAAAACTCATAAATACCTCCTGGGGAGGGTGCCCTTTTGAACCCATGCTGGCTATGACGAAGGGCCTTCCCCAGCCCTGTATCCAGCCCCCATTTCGGGCTCTCTCCATCCCACACAGCACTGCTCAGTCCCCAGGTCAGAGTGTCTGGTATGGCCAGAGGGATGAGGACCTCTGTCTGGGTGCCCTGCTCATATCCCAGGCCCTAGGTTCCTGCTTCCAGAACACCTGGGCCCTTCCTCTGTACCCCAACAGCATGCTGTGCTCACGCAGGACCTTCCATCCTAATGGCATTACTTTTGTTGAGGGCTTGTCTGTACCTTGATAGAGCCAAAGCTTCTCGAGGTCAGACCCACGCCTCATCCTTCCACGTCACTCCCACAGCTGCCTGGCTAGAAGATGTGATCACTAAGTCAGTGTTATTGCAGCAACTGAGTGTGAGCTGTTGACCATATGACTGCACGTGTTCTGGGCTGTGGCCTCGCCTGGTAAGGCAGCAGGTGCAAGGGCTGTTAAGGTTCCTGACTTGTGATGGACAGAACACGGCAGAGGCTCTGAGATGTGAGCAGGGAGGGATACTTGAAACAGGGGAGAAGGTGGGAGGAGCAGCCCATTTTTCACTCTTGAATCTCAACAACCTGTTCTTTAGAAGCTGTCTACTGGGACCAGTGAGTGAAATCTGGAGTGAGATATCTAATAAGCCAGGCTCTGGTGAAGAAGGGAGATCCTAGCCCTGGCTACAGGACATGGAGTGTCCCTGAGGTGCACCCCTTCCCCAAAAGGAAGACTTAGATGAGAGCAGGTCTATATCTTGGATGCTCCCCCATTTTCCTTGGATGCCATGACCTTCTCATTAGATCTGCCTGAAGGTGTGGGAAAGCAAAGACTTTTCACCCTGTCTTGCCCTTTGCTGTAACGCCTGCCTTCATCCTTGATCATCTGGAGACTGTAGATGGGAAGAGTATCTGTGTGTGTAAATGGAATCCTCAGCAAGATGGTTGTGGAGGATTGAAGGGGGAGGGATTAGGGAGGAATGGGGACCTGCAAAGTGTCAGTTGTGTGACTTGAGCATCTTGTGGGGCAGCCTGCCTGGTTGAGTTGAGAACTCTGCACAGCGGGAGCGTCTTCTTGTAAGACCACTCCTACAGACAGGGTTTCTATGCAGTGACATGAGATAGGATGAGAAGGGGGCAGAAGGTTGGCCTGGCCTGGCCTCACGTGGGAAGCCATCTGACCATGTCAGCATGTCCCTCTGTTACACTTCCCCTTCTTTGGGGTTCAAGAATCTCCTGAGAAGTTTTGCTGGTGTATGGGAACAGACAGGGACTTCCAGAGAGAAGTCACAAGTGGAGATGGTGGTGACAGGGCTTGTGGACAGTCAGAAAACTGGAAGACACAGCTTGAGTTCTGCTGACCAGAGATTCTATATCATTAGACACCCCTACAATGTGTTTTTCATGCTGAAACTACGGCACCCACCTTCCCCAGACGTAGAAGGCTCCGAAGACAGCCTAAACATCTCTTCTGCTGAAAGATTCAGAAAATTGTCCTATACAAGAACAGTTTCCATCTATGGGCATTTTATATGTGTTGAAATATTAAAGTGCAGTCCTTAAACATAGACAATTATTGATAATTTACTTTTTTTTAAAAAAATGAAGGGAGACTTAAGTTGGTGTGTGCTTAACAGCCTTTGTGAAAGAACCATTTATTAAACTAATGATCCATTTCCCACAGTACTGAGAATGCAAGATTTATCACTTATTCAATTCTGATATTCCCTGCTGTTTATGTCAGAATTTTCATTTCTGCTCATGTCTTCTGTTTTTCTATTCTTATGTGAATAAAATATTGATTTGATTATAATGGTTTTCATTGTACCATGGTGAAACAAGTTCATGTTCAGTCTACATTTTTATGCTTTTCTTGTCATTTTCAGGCATTTAATCTACTATGTGAAAACTGAAATCACTTATCTAGTTCCCAAGAAAAAGCCTTTTTAATATTCTAGTTGGAATTGTCTTACATTTATGTACTGTTTGAGAGGGCTGTAAATGCTTCAAGTATAAATCAAATGCATGTTATTTCTAGATGAACACATTGGAAAATTCAGAAGTAAAGAGTAAAAATGAAATACATTTGTATTCTCATTAGGGTAAGAGATACATTTCTTTAATAGATGTCATTATTTTCATTCTGTTGATTTAATTGATTTCACAATAGAAAATAGAACGATTTGACTAAATGGCGTCCATTCAGTGACTAAATAACAAACCACCAAAAATTTATCATTTATTGAAAATTTGATGTTGATTACCTCAAATACAGTACTTCCTGTGTTTTATTACAGAACAGCAGGGAAGATGCCTCCCACAACATCGCAGGAAGTGAGGCAGGTTTGCCCTGATGCCATCCTCCCTCAGTCTCAGAAGAGAACTGGGAAGGTGTGTTTGTGTGTGTTCTGGAATCCCCACAGTCTTGGTGCCAGGAAGAGATGGGCTGTGGAGGGTGATGAGAAGGAGGCTGTCCTGACCAAGGCTGTGACAGCAGTGACCTTTAGAATTTGTTATTTTCTAAAAATGCATCTACAATGGAGTGAAGGATGAGAAACGAGTTTTGGAGAATATGAGGAGCCCAATCAGCACAGGGTTTCTTTAAAAATATTTTATTCTTGGCCCTAGTCTCAAATTGGCCAAATACAGGGTCCCTGGCCAGTGGACTGAAGGCTTTGTCTAGGATGACAAGGGTCAGCTCAGGGGATGGGGGGAGGGCGCTTTGATCTTCCCCGTTGTCATTTGAGGTTTTGATCTCCGGGTAAAGAGGCCGTTCATCTTTGTAAACACAAAACATTTTTTGCTTTCTCCAATTTTCTGTTAATGGTGAAAGAATGGAAGCGAATAAAGTTTTACTGATTTAAAAAAAATTTTATTCAAATATAGTATACATATCAAGAAAGGCACATAATGAGTTTCTTTCTCAACTGTTCACGCTAATAACCAACTCCCAAAGAGCCCTCACTATTCCCACACCTCCATTTCTTTTTTTAGTGTGAAATAGTATATTGTCATTTACAAGGTATGGCAGTGAAGCAATACTTATGACTACATACCAAATGATCTGACATCCACACAAGTTTTATCCTTTCTACTAACTACCATGAATAGGAGAATTTTTTCTTTTTTTTGTTCTGGCTTATTTTACTTAACATAATGATCTCCAGTTGTATCCATTTTGTTGCGAATGTCAGGATTTCATTTTTTATGGCTGAATAATATTCCACTGTATATATATATATATGTATAATATATATATACCACATTTAAAAAAAGATTTATTTATTTATTTGAAAGTCAGAGTTACACAGAGAGAGTAGAGGCAGAAAGAGGGCGAGAGAGAGGTCTTCCATCCGATGGTTCACTCCCAAATTGACTGCAAATTGAGCTGTGCCGATCTGAGCCAGCACCCAGGAGCTTCTTCTAGGCCTTCCACACGGGTGCAGGGGCCCAAGGACTTGAGCCATCCTCTACTGCTTTCCCAGGCCATAGCAGAGGGCTGGAAGGGAAGTGGAGCAGCCGGGTCTCGAACCGCCGTCCATATGGGATGCCAGCGCTTCAGGCCAGGGCATTAACCCACTGCGCCACAGCGCCAACCCCAACCACATTTTCTTTATCCAGTCATCAGTTAAAGTGCAGGTGTTTTTCTACCCTCTAAACAGCCATGAAAAGTCAGAAGGAAGGTTTCCAGTCTCCAAGTCCCCGTCAACAATGTTTATAAGCTACATGTAAACCATACACAACAATAACACTAAACGAAAGCTTTGTATGCATCAGGTGGTGACCAAATGTGAGCAGCTGCTCTCAGGGAACTTGACCCCAGATGGGAGTGTGGTGTGGTCCCAGGTCCACTCTGGTGTGGCTTGTCCTGAAGTTCTCCCGGTCTTGCTGATGCAGAGGAGACTCAAGCAGAAACTCACAGTCAGCTGAAGAGGGAGAGGATAGGGTGTGGGGCAACTGGAGCAGGTAGAAGTTGACGGAGACACTCCCAGGAGAAAAGAGACAGCAAGTGGGATCAGAGTGAGAGGGGAGGGCATTGTAAGTTCTGCCTTTGAGCTCTCTGCAAATCCTTCACTGGCTCTCACTGTACAAGCACAGGGCAATCTACAAAGGCCAGGGGAAATCTTACCTAAAAAAGCTGATCAGAGACATCAGCAGCTGTCCATAGCAGCAAAGGGAATTTCAAAATACAGCCCCCCAAGTTAGTGGGTCTTGATAAAGTTGGAGATTCACACTGAAATGCCCACAAGGGTATACTTCAGGAACAAGAACTGCATCTCAGGACGGAGTGACTTTTCCTAGAAGGAAGAGGAAAATTAAAGCAGACCCTTGCTAAAGGTCAAAGTGATGGGTCAGTAATTTCAGTGACTACTAGAGCAAACTTGATATTCTTCAGAAAAAGATAGCAACACCCTGGATCTCTACAATTTATTTTCTACAAAGCTCTGCATATGTTAAAATTTCTTCTTTTCTGACATAAGCATATAAAGGTATATAATTTCTTTCTGTGTGTTTTTATCTCTTTCTCACAATTAGTTGTATATCCTGTTTTCTTTATCATTCAGTTTAAAATATTTTCTCTGTGCTTTATGATATTGTCCCTCCCCCCTTTTTTATAGATTTATTTTATTTATTTGAAAGACAGAGCCACAGAAAGAAAGAGGTAGGGATGGAGGAAGGAAGGGAGAGAGAAATAGAGAGAGAGAGAGAGAGAGAGAGAGAGAGAAAGGTCTTCCATCCACTGGTTCACTCCTCAAATTGCCACAATGTCTGGATCTGAGCCAAATCCGGAGCCAGGACCTTGTTCTGGGTCTCCCTCTTGTGTCCCGGGGCCAATGACTTGGGCTATCCTCCACTGCTTTCCAAGGCACATTAACAGGGAGTGGTATTGGAAGTAGAGCAGTGGGGACTTGAACTGGTGCCCATATGGGATGCTGCTACTACAGACAAGGACTTTAACCATTATGCTACAGTGCCAGCCCCTGTAATTTTTTTTCACTCATGGATTATTTAGAAGTAAACACTGAAATTCCAAATGTTTAAATGATTTTTAGAAAGTACAGTTTTTTAATAGCCATTATTTATGTGAGGTTACTGAACATTTGATAACATACCTGGTATAGCCGAGAAACTGAA